GCCGTGTTTCGGTCCTTTAAGCCACGGACACATAAGGCGGACCATCATCAGCGTGGAACCTGAGTGTCTGCAGACAGGACTGCGGTGTGAGTCTGGTTTGTCAGGCGGCTGTTCGTAGCTCGTCACAGCCAGGACCACCCGTGCTACTAGAGCACAGGCGAATCCGTCACGGGGAGAAGGCCCCTACAACCGTGTCTGAGCAATCAGTTAAAAAACTCAGGGCACTCGCCCTGATTGTGACTGCGACTCGCTAGGCAGCACTGACTTGTCTTCTTTTTACGGTGGCAATCTGCGAAGTAAACTCCGCAGAGCACAGTGGACATGGGGTTGCCGTGTGCAGCACCAATGGTTGAAGTACCAAAAGGAAAAGAGTGCGAGGAAGTAATCCTGCGTGCTGAGGGCAGCAAGTCGCGTTACGCGAAGTACCCTACTGGAATGGGGGGATTGCAAGAACGTGCTTGGAATGGGTATGTGCTCAACACCGCACTGGTCCCGTCCGCGCCGTGTTTCGGTCCTTTAAGCCACGGACACATAAGGCGGACCATCATCAGCGTGGAACCTGAGTGTCTGCAGACAGGACTGCGGTGTGAGTCGGGGAAGGGGGGGGAGGGGGGTAGCACGGTGTGAACCTCATGCTGATCATCTGCCTGAAAAATTCCGGTAAACTGTGGAAAACGGCACAAAATCCGAGAAAATAGTCGGAATAGTGACATTTCCGTTGAAAATGCTCAGTCAGCTATTTTAGCTATTTTAGCTATTTTCAGCTATAGCTAGCTAGCTATAGCTAGCTATCAGCTAGCTATAGCTAAGCTAACAATGCTGGTAGACTTGTATCGTAGGGCCTGGGGGAAAACCCGACGCACCACAAACAATCCTTTTCATTTCCGGGTCCATTTCTCATCGGAGCTGATCGCGAGCAGGAATTCGAAAAAAGTCTGCCACGTGGAGTCACGGTGGACCAGCCAAGAAATGTCACCAGCCAGGGATCGATTCCTGTCCTTCCCACTGCAAACCTGGTGCGGTTTCCACGCCCGGTGCCTGCATCTTGCAAGGACCCCCGAACCACGCACATACTGGATGGTCCCTGGTCTATTTTTCACGGATCTCTCCATCAGAGCTGATCGCGAGCAAAAGGTCGTCGAAAAAGGTCTGCTGCGTGAACCAGCAACATAATGCCACCACCAGGGGATCGATGCCCGTCCTGCTCATTGCACACCGGGTGGTTTCCAAGCCCGGTACTCTGCATCCTGTAAGAACCCACGGACAACGCACGTAATGTTTGATTCCCGGGTCTATTTTTCACGGATCTCTTCATCGAAGCTGATCGCGAGCAAAACTTTGTCGACAAAGATCTGCTACGCGGACCAGCAACAGAATGCCACCAGCCAGGGGATCGATACCGTCCGTGTTCAATGCACACCTGGTCAGGCTGGTGGTTTCTACGCCCGGTGCCCTGCAAATTGTAAAAACTACTGACCACGCACATAGTTTCTCGTCTCCGGGTCTATTTTTCACGGATCTCTTCATCGGAGCTGATCGCAAGCAAAAATTCGTCGGAAAAGGTTTGCTATGTGGACCAGCGGGAAAATGTCGCCAACCAGGGGATCGATTCCCGTCCTTCCCAATGCACACCGGTGGTTTCCACGCCCGGTGCCCTGCATCTTGCACGGACCCACGAACCACGCACATACTTTTTCGTTTCCGGGTCTATTTTTCACGGATCTCTTCATTGCAGCTGATCGCGACCTAAAATTCGTCGAAAAAGGCCTGCCGCGTGGTCCGGCGGGAAAATGCCACCACCCAGGGGATCGATTCCCGTTCTTCTCAATCTACACCTGGCGGCTTCCACGCCCGGCGCCCTGCAACTTGCACGGACCCACGAACAATGCACATACCTTTTCGTTTCAGGGTCTATTTTTCACGGATCTCTTCATTGCAGCTGATCGCGACCTAAAATTCGTCGAAAAAGGCCTGCCGCGTGGTCCGGCGGGAAAATGCCACCACCCAGGGGATCGATTCCCGTTCTTCTCAATCTACACCTGGCGGCTTCCACGCCCGGCGCCCGGCAACTTGTAAAGGGCCACGAACCACGCACATAGTTTTTCGTCTCCGGGTCTACTTTTCACGGATCTCTTCATCGGAGCTGAAAACGAGCAAAAATTCGTCGAAAAAGGTCTGCTACATGGACCAGCGGGAAAATGTTACCAACCAGGAAATCGATACCCATTATGTGTGTGCACACGGCCCGGAGAGGGCGGGGGGGGGTACCAGGGGGGGTTTGGGCGACTCTGAAAACGAGAATGAGGCAGAAACTCTGGTTTCGTCGCAATTTTTTTGCATTTTTGGGTACCTACCTGAGGTTTTCTGACCCGTTTCCGGGGTGACCCAAATACCGCGAGATACTGAGAAACTCCGCCAAAAACGCAATTTTCGGGCACATTTGACCCCGAAACGCAACAAACCTCGAAAACAATCTTCGACCGGAAAAATATCATGGGCGGGGTTCGAACCCGGACTCACCGGCCTGAAGGCCGGCGCCCGGTACTCTGCCACCCGCATACCTTCTGCGAGGAAAAAAAAAAAAGCTTGCCCGTCTCTTTCCAAAAACAATACACTTTTTTCATGAAGAAAAGCCGGGTTGGCTCGAATAGAGGCTATTCACATTGCATGTTCATAGGACCTCCAGTCTCGAATCAACTCTAAGAAGTACGTGCGCTCGGCTAAGGCCGGCGCGTGGCGAGACTGGAGGCAGCAGTTAAAGTTCGTGAGTTCTGGTGAAGCTAAGATCGGGCGAAACAAAGTTCGGGCGAAACAAAGTTCGGGTGAAGCAAAGTTCGGGTGAAGCAAAGTTCGGATGAAGCAAAGTTCTGGTGAAGCAAAGTTCGGGCGAAGCTAAGTTCGGGCGAAACAAAGTTCGGACGAAGCTAAGTTCGTCGAACCTAAAGCAAAGTTCTGGTGAAGCTAAGTTCGGGCGAAACAAAGTTCTGGTGAAGCAAAGTTCGGGTGAAGCAAAGTTCGGGCGAAGCTAAGTTCTGGGTGAAGCAAAGTTCAGGCGAAGCAAAGTTCGGGCGAAGCTAAGTTCGGGCGAAACAAAGTCCGGGCGAAGCTAAGTTCTGGGTGAAGCAAAGTTGCAAAGTTCTGGTGAAGCAAAGTTCTGGGTGAAGCAAAGTTCTGGTGAAGCAAAGTTCGGATGAAGCAAAGTTCTGGTGAAGCAAAGTTCGGGTGAAGCTAAGTTCGGGCGAAACAAAGTTCGGGTGAAGCTAAGTTCGGGTGAAGCAAAGTTCTGGTGAAGCAAAGTTCGGGCGAAGCAAAGTCGGGTGAAGCAAAGTTCGGGCGAAGCTAAGTTCGGGCGAAGCAAAGTTCGGGTTCTGGTGGCAAGTTCGGCGCCAGTACCCCGGCCCCCCCCGGGCCCCCCCCCCGACTCCGTTTCCCGTGGTGACCCAAATGCCGCGAGATACTGAAAAACTCCGCAAAAACGCAATTTTCGGGCACATTGGACCTGGAAACGCAACAAAACCTCGAAAACAATCTTCGACCGGAAAAATGTCATGGGCGGGGTTCGAACCCGGACCCACCGGCCTGAAGGAAAAAAAAAAAACACTCTGCCACCCGCATACCTTTTGCGAGGAAAAAAAAAGCTTGCCCGGCTCTTTCCAAAACAACACCTTTTCATGAAGAAAAGCCGGGTTGGCTCGAATAGAGGCTATTCACATTGCATGTTCATAGGACCTCCAGTCTCGAAAAACCGTACTATCTTGGGTATTGACTCATGTCTGGACACTTTTTCGTGGAATGGGTGATACCTCGGAAAATTCACAAGTGTAAAAACTACAAATTCCCGAGCCGAATGGGTGTGGTTTCCGAAAGCGTAGGGCCTTCAGCCCGGGTTCGGCCATGACACTTTTCCGGTCGAAGTTTTCGAGGTTTGTTGCGTTTCGGGGTCTAATAAAGCGCCAAACTTTACCCATTCGGTGGTCGGCCCCCGGGAACGAGCACCTCGGAAAACTGTAGCATGCGCAAAAAATGTCGACACAGTTCAGGCAGCATGTCCAGCAGTGAATAGCACTCCTGCTCAGCCCTGCGATCCTGGAACTGTCTGTTGCGTGGGTTATGAGCTGCTCTGTGACCAGCCTGGCCCGGTTCACCCAACTTCAAGTTTGCCTGTACAGAGGTTTGCACCAGTGCACTGACAATCACACCAGACTAACCAGGACAGTGCCTCAGCACAGAAGTGCCAACACCGATCCCTGAACAGGGGCCACCCAGTTCCGTGTCAACGTCGCCCCCCAGAGCAAGGGTTACAGGGCTTTGCTTGGGAGCCCCGGCTGAATGAAGAAGGATCGCATTTCGCACGTGTTGTCATATTCCGGATAAATCCTGCGAAAAGAGCAGCTGCACGGAATTGACTTCGGACAAATTTTAAGAAGAAAAAGGATCTCACGGGACTCGAACCAGATTCAGGCAAACATTACCCAAGGCCGGGGAGGCGGGGCGTGAAAACAGCCCCACTGTTCCCCCCAGCCAAAAACTGTCGAAACGGGTGAGTCAACTCCCTGAGAAGACCACCGACACACCGCTGTGCCTGCGCTGAAACGAGTGCGGGACACGGCCCAAGCCACTCTGACAGCCCCCCAGACGCAAACGCCCTGACTCAAACTCAGGGCTTGAGTCAAAAACCGGAAGAAGGGGCTGCAGAGCAGGCTAACCCTATTGCATCTGGTGGGGCGCGACCGGACGAAGTCACTGCATCGCGGGTTTTTTTACCGGGTCGGACCTGTTAGCAGTCACGCGCAGGCCAGTCCCGTGTCGCTGTGAGACTGGCGTTCACAGTGTGCTGAAGAAGCATTTCTTTGGACTACCGCTCCGGAAGCAACCGGATACCGGCAGCCCCGCTGTACCAACATGGCAAGTACAGTGTCCCGCGCTCCAAAAAAAAACATTCACTCCCGAAAAACCGCTTCAACTAAACAACTACAAAAGCTCCGATTTTGTCAAAAAGAAAGGCATCAAGCCCTTGGAAAAATTATGCTGTCACGTGGTGATCTGTATCCACAGTCATCTTTAGTAAAAGGCGAAAGATGAGTTTGCTGATGAACACAAATCGTGAGATGCCACGTCAACGCTGAAGTAAGGGAAAGGAGTTGGATCACCGTTCCGGAAAACGTGTTACAGGTCGATGGGGCAGCAAAAATGAGACCGCGGGGACTTGATCCGACAAAATATTTGGGCCGGCTCAATTCCCACAGGCAACGAGCGCGGTAGACAAATCTAAGTTTTTGCTCATAACGGTGGGACAATTCCCATTAGGGTAGGCGGTTTTTTTTTTTTGGCCCATGTCCGTCGGCCCACAGAAATTTACGCGCGCGCGCGCAAAAAAAAAACTTTTCAGAAAAAAAGTACGTGCGCTCGGCTAAGGCCGGCGCGTGGCGAGACTGGAGGCAGCAGTTAAAGTTCGGGGAACAGCAAAGTTCGGGCGAAGCTAAGTTCGGGTGAAGCAAAGTTCGGGCGAAGCTAAGTTCTGGTGAAGCAAAGTTCGGGCGAAGCTAAGTTCGGGTGAAGCAAAGTTCTGGTGAAGCTAAGTTCGGGCGAAACAAAGTTCGGGCGAAGCAAAGTTCGGGCGAAGGTGAAGCTAAGTTCGGGCGAAACAAAGTCCGGGCGAAGCTAAGTTCTGGGTGAAGCAAAGTTCGGACGTTCTGGTGAAGCTAAGATCGGGCGAAAAAGTTCGGCGAAGCTAAGTTCGGGTGAAGCAAAGTTCGGGCGAAGCTAAGTTCTGGTGAAGCAAAGTTCGGGCGAAGCTAAGTTCGGGTGAAGCAAAGTTCGGGCGAAGCTAAGTTCTGGTGAAGCAAAGTTCGGCGAAGCTAAGTTCGGGTGAAGCAAAGTTCTGGTGAAGCTAAGTTCGGGCGAAACAAAGTTCGGGCGAAGCAAAGTTCGGGCGAAGGTGAAGCTAAGTTCGGGCGAAACAAAGTCCGGGCGAAGCTAAGTTCTGGGTGAAGCAAAGTTCGGACGTTCTGGTGAAGCTAAGATCGGGCGAAAAAGTTCGGCGAAGCTAAGTTCGGGTGAAGCAAAGTTCGGGCGAAGCTAAGTTCTGGTGAAGCAAAGTTCGGGCGAAGCTAAGTTCGGGTGAAGCAAAGTTCTGGTGAAGCTAAGTTCGGGCGAAACAAAGTTCGGGCGAAACAAAGTTCGGGCGAAACAAAGTTCGGGCGAAGCAAAGTTCTGGGCGAAGCTAAGTTCGGATGAAGCAAAGTTCTGGTGAAGCAAAGTTCGGGCGAAACAAAGCTCTGGGGGAAGCAAAGTTCGGGCGAAGCAAAGTTCGGGCGAAGCTAAGTTCTGGTGAAGCAAAGTTCGGGCGAAGCAAAGTTCGGGTCAAGCTAAGTTCGGGCGAAACAAAGTGCGGGCGAAGCTAAGTTCTGGGGGAAGCAAAGTTCGGGTGAAGCAAAGTTCTGGTGAAGCTAAGATCGGGCGAAACAAAGTTCGGGCGAAGCTAAGTTCGGGTGAAGCTAAGTTCGGATGAAGCAAAGTTCTGGTGAAGCAAAGCTCGGGCGAAGCAAAGTTCGGGCGAAGTTCGGGTGAAGCAAAGTTCTGGTGAACATTGCATGTTCATAGGACCTCCAGTCTCGAAAAATTCTCAAAAACTTCAAACCGAAAAAAACACTTCGCGCGGGGATCGAACCGCGGACCTGTGGGTCCGGAGACCGCGGCACTGTTGAAGTGGACCATACAGGCATGAAATCCGAAAAACGGAAAAAGCCAACCCCGCGCTATTATCCAGTTCAAAACAATACACTTTTTAGTGTAGAGAAAAGTGGGGTTGGCTCGAATAGAGGCTATTCACATTGCATGTTCATAGGACCTCCAGTCTCGAAAAACTTTTGCCACAAGACTTTCTGCTACTGGATGTCACACCATATGTGCCGGCTATACTACTGGCCAGTCCGCTGTTGGCACTTTTGTGCCCGTTGTTGGTAGAATTTCTGGACGATGAGCTCAAAGGTGAGTGTGAAGATGAACTTGATGTGTCCGAGGGGTTGCGGTGGCAGTCTAGAGTTCAACAGTCCTGAACGCCGCGCGGGGTGCGTTTCGACAAAACCTTCCATAGTCGGAGGCTGCAGATGATAGACGATGCCACGGTATTTCTGCTCTCCCAGAGCTTATTTCGCCCGGTTTGCGAAGAACTCAAAATGAGTCCAAAAATTCTCACTCGGTAGTGAACAAAAAAAAATTCACCGAGAAGAGGAAGAACCTTCTCGAGTCGCTGACGGAGGAGCTCGGCCACTCCGGCCAACTGCAGGGTCAGGCCCTGACCCGGGCCCAAGACCGGATCCGGGCGCGGATCCAAAGCGGCTCCGGCAAGCACGCTTCGGCGTGGTTGTACGGCAACCCTGAGGCGGATACCGCAATGTGGTTGTCTCCGGCCGAGCTGGCGGTGGCAGTCCGGCTTCGGTTGGGGCTTCCAATTGCGGCCGCGCCGGGGGAGTGCCGCCTTTGCGGACACGGTGCGACCGACGTCAACGGATCGCACGCCCAGACGTGTTTCGGCAGCGGCCGCCGAACGCGCCTTCACAACGCGCTGCGCGACATCGTCGCCGACTTCGCTCGACGAGGACTGCTCGGTCCTTCCATCGAGCGAGCCGTGTTCGCTAACGCGCGGCGCAAGCGCCCGGACATCAGCTACGTCCGGGATGGCACCACCGTCCTACTTGACGTCGCTGTCACGTACCCCCTACAACTCTCGCAGCCGCACTACGCAGCCCGGGCGGCGGCAGAGCCAGGGGGCGCAGCAGCCGCGTACGCTGTAGCCGTCAAGGAGCGTGTCTACAACGCAATCATCGCCAATGAGCCAGACCCGCGGGAATGGAAGGCGGTGCCGCTAGTTGTAGACACGTTCGGGGCCTGGTGCCCAGGAGCAATCACGGAGCTGCGGCACATTGCCCGCGCCAACGCCCTCCGTGAAGACCGGACCGTTTCGGCCGCCAGGACCTCTTCCACCGCTTGAGCTTTTCTATAGCCCGAGGGGTGGCAAGGATCGTCATTGCATCTGGTGGGGCGCGACCGGACGAAGCGGATCCACCCTGATGCAGGGGGTAGAGTCACTGCATCGCGGGTTTTTTTACCGGGTCGGACCTGTTAGCAGTCACGCGCAGGCCAGTCCCGTGTCGCTGTGCGACAGGCCTTCACAGTGTGCTGAAGAAGCATTTCTTTGGACTACCGCTCCGGAAGCAACCGGATACCGGCAGCCCCGCTGTACCAACATGGCAAGTACAGTGTCCCGCGCTCCAAAAAAATTCCGCCGTTTTTTTTAGCCCATGGTCCAGAGGTTACCACACGGTCTTTCGATTCCCGCCGGAAATCGTGTTTATGGGTTTTTGAAACAACCCCAAAACCGACCTTTTGTCCATCTGCACGCCAGATTTTGGTCGCCACGCGAGCTGATTGCTTGCCCATAATCGCCAGGGATAGCTCTTTCCATCCCAAAAAAAATTTCCCAAAAATTCCAAAAATTTGACCCAAAACGGGCTGCTTTTCAGACGGAAAATCTGTGACACTTTTTCGTGGAATGGGTGATACCGTTATGGGGCTAATTCCCATTCTCGAACACAATTTAACTTTTTGCCCATTCTCGAACACTCGCTAACTTTTTGCCCATTCTCGAACACTTTTTAACTTTTTGCCCATTCTCGAACAGTCGCCTAACTTTTTGCCGGGCTAATTCCCATTCTAGAACTGTTTTTAACTTTTTGCCCATTATAGAACAGTCGCTAACTTTGTGCCCATTATAGAACTGTTTTTAACTTTTTGCCCATTCTCGATAACTGTGTGCCCATTAAAGTACGTGCGCTCGGCTAAGGCCGGCGCGTGGCGAGACTGGAGGCAGCAGTTAAAGTTCGGGGAACAGTAAAGTTCGGGCTAAGCTAAGTTCGGGCAATGCTGGTGAAGCTAAGTTCGAGTGATGCTAAGTTCGGGCGTTGCTAAGTTCTGGTGCTAAGCGCTCAGGCTGCGCTCGGTACTAAAAAAAAGTTCCGGCACGAGCGAAGTTCGGCCAGGGTGGTAAAGTCCGGTGAAGCCAAGGTCGGTGCTCGTGCCCGGGGGGGGACACCCACCGAGTACGGGAAAAGTTTGGCGCTGGTACCCGGGTTTGCGCCCCCCCGGACCCCCCCGCCGCCCCCCGGCGAAGCAGAGTTCGGCGCGCAGCTAAGTTCAGACGATAATAAGTTCGAGTGATGCTAAGTTCGGGCGGAGCTAAGTTCTGGTGAAGCAAAGTTCGGGCGCAGCTGAGTTCGGACGAAGCAAAGTTCGCGTGAAGCTAAGCAAAGTTCGGTTCTCGTAGCAGTTTGGCCTGTGATGGCAAGCTCGGCCGCCCGACTCCGTTTCCCGGGGTGACCCAAATACCGCGAGATACTGAGAAACTCCGCCAAAAACGCAAATTTCGGGCACATAAGACCCCGAAACCCAACAAACGTCGAAAACCATCGTCGACCGGAAAAGTGTGCGGGGCGGGGTTCGAACCCGGGCCGACCGGCCTGAAGGCCGGCGCCCGCTCACTCTGCCACCCCCGTGCATTTTCCCAGAAGGGAAAAAAGCTTACTCTGAACTATTATCCAGTTCAAAAACAATACGGTTTCATAATTGTTGCAAGAAAAGCCGGGTTGGCTCGAATAGAGGCTATTCACATTGCATGTTCATAGGACCTCCAGTCTCGAAGAACATTCCGCTAACTTTGTGCCCATTATAGAACATTGCTAAATCGTCACTTCTGGGACTCGATACCCCAACCTCCAGGCTGCCAAAATCTTGGGTCTAAATTTTGGTTCCCAACTCGGGTCCAAGTTTTGGGTCAGGTTTTGGGCTCAAGTTTCGGTCCGGTCTGAAGTCTGGGCCTAGTTACTGGTAGCGCCAGGCCAGTAACCTGGTAACCAGACTGGACCTGGATTATGTCATCATGCCACGGAAAAGCCTCGAACAGACCGGGCGGTCTGCTCAGAGTCAGACTGCTGTCAGGCTGCGTGCAGTCTGGTAGTGTTAGTCTGGGCCTCTGGCAGCTGACGCTTGAAGTTGAACTGGTTGTCGTCTATTGATGACCAACCCAAGTTTGGGGGACCCAAGTTTGGGAC